ACGATAAAAGGATGACGCATTTTAGAATGAATCTGGAGTTCGGTTCGAAACTGCGACAAAAGTTTAGGTACTGTCAAATGCTTGGTCCGTATCCGGAAGCTCGTACCTTCTCCTCCATCTTTTTTTGAGACATCGCTGACTTGACAACCTTCATGGCATACACCCGGCCATTTCGAGCCAATGTACCCTCATAACAAACAGCAAAACCGCCTTTCCCTAAGAATGCGCCTATCGAGTATCGCTCACCGCCATCTTCCGGCTCTGAGACTATCGACGGTGGCGGATCGGCGTAGCTTTTGGACGTTGCAAGCTTCTGCTTGTTACTCGGAGGCGGAGCATTTTTATCGAACGGTTTGCGATCAATCGCCACCTTCGGCTTGATCATCTGGTTCGTCGTGCGCGGGGAGAGGGCCTCCATCATTGGCGGGTCGTCTTGTTATGACAGGCGAAGTAGGAGAATATCACTAGCTGAACGCGTGTAACGGAAGGGGTATCGCGCATAAAGATCATTAAACAGTGACCATGTGACGGTCTGCAAAAGGGTATCAAGTTCGGGCAATATTGGTATCCCTGCAACGACCAAGTTAGACCTCAGTTGAGAGCTGAGCACAGATAGAACTTACCAAAATGCAAAGCGCTAAAGAAACAAAAATGTACAGAGCTTCAAAAATGTACAGAGCTTGGAAAACAAATAACGACACCTCAATCGAGGGTTGGGGAAGGATGGTGAATAAATAGTCGGACCATAACAGTTTGCTCAACGCGGTAAACAATAAACACTGGCCGTTGGCCCGTGTGGTGTGGTCACGTGAGCCCCGTTGCCAACGCATTGTCTTCGGTAGACACATACCCACATAGTGGACATGTGTAGATTTGTCTAAAAATATGAAGATATTCGATTTAGCAAGAGACTGTTTGGCTTCAATCTTGATGTGTTTCTAGGGCTTTATATTAGGGTTGACATCAAGAAATGAAGTACATAAATCTCAGCCGCTAATTTAACTTTACGACCACGAAGTACTGTACATATATCCTTGCACTTTTATTGGCTCTTAAGGTTGCGGCTATAGTTCTCTTGAAGTTGATCGAATTGGTGTTTATCCCCAGCCTTTAGAATATATCTTACTGTTGTACAACATATACATATTCTCTATACTAAATTGTCAACAAGCCTGACTCCAGTGGCAATTCATTAGAATTTGCCCTAGTACTTCTGGCATTGACCGCTCTTTCACACCGCCGATCTATTCCTACACCCCGCGCAGGGCACGCGTGCGCGATGATGCGCGTAGTATAGTATGAAGTTTCCTATTGGCAGGGGAAAAGCGGGTCTCGGGCCTTCCCATGTACATACTGGGGTGCAAACCCTGGAATACTAATGAAATATGACTGTACAGCGGGAGATCGTACATAAACCTTCTCAAAAGCTTAAGCTTAATCTTACCTAGTATGTACATTGTACAGAGTTTATATGTCAAAATTGCAGCCTATGCAGCGGCCAGGTCCCATGGAAACGGTTTGAGAATATGCAGGTCTAGCGTTCAGCTTTTACTAAAGTGGATAGACAACAACCAAAAAGGGGAAGCCCACTATCCCAACGGGCTGGTTTATGACTAAATATAGTTAAAACCATCTCACTGCCCACAAATTTTGGTATGGATAGATAGGGAATTCAGCAATAATGTTGGTATGTGGATCAAATCCTGATGTTTAGTCTCCACAACCCAGCCATCTAGGCACATGTCTTACTAGCATGTCGTCATTACATATCATAAACCCCTCTCAACCATTCCTCGGCCACCACGCCAATAAAACCGCAACCAACAACGGCCAATGTCCATGGATTCGCCAAGTCCCGCAAATTTGGCCAGAAACTGTTCTTCTCTTTCTGCCACTGTTGCAGCTGCCTATACTTATCTGAATCCTGAGACTTGTAGCGCTCCTCCTGGCTAGCCTCAGCCTCCTTATCGCCACCCACAAGTCGAAGGAATAGGTAGTTCGTCACAGGTCCCAGTATGACAACTGGATTAAATGGACCAGCCATGTTAAGTAGGGCAAAGGAGAAATGGACCAAAGTATCTCCAAGGTAACTAGACAAGCATCAGTCCATGTCATCGAACGCAAAGGGTGATATATATATCACGAAAACTTACTTCGGATGCCGCACCAAACTCCAAACCCCATGTCGACACAAATCCGTCCGTTCTCGTCGATGCAGTGCAAGCTGCGTATCTGCCATAGCCTCCAACGCAAACCCAGCAGCAAAAAGCCCAACACCAAGTGCTCGAACAACATTCACCCCGTCATTGCCTATCGGGAGCGTAGCTCCACCCATAGTGAACGGGACCGTGAACGGCAAAGAGATCACACTCAATACAACAGCCTCCGGGAAAAAAACCCTCATGAATCCAAGTCTCCAAAAGTTCCGCTCTTTTTTGGCTGCGTCGTACCGTGCATCATCTGTCCCGCGGGACAATGACCGGCACGCGATCCGGGCAAAGAGTCTCACGCCCCAGATAGTAACGCAGCTTAGCAGAACCCTTTCCGACCATGGTAGAGCCTCACAAGCTTCTCTGAATGAGATGTCATGTTTTAAAATCGGGTGCCCGATGGCGGTCCACCAGGCATTGAGGACTTGGGCGGAGGGCCAGAGCCAGTCTTTGAGTTCGACTCTGTCTGTTACTTCGGCTGCGAGGTATGTTGCGAGTGAGAGGCTATAATATAAACTGAATGACGGTAGGAGAGTTGATTTTAGGATTCCTACGTCACCGGGTGTGATGTTGTTTCTGAGGGGTGGGGAGTGGAGAGCGCTAGAGGCCTGGTTCTCTAGGGCAGAGGGAGGAATGAAAAATGCCATTTGGGACACGATCTGGATTATTGGAGGGTTGGCTACAAGGTTAATTAATGTATTGTGACTTGGTTGTCGTTTGGTGCTGCTCAGATGTTGATGTCAAGATTATGTAATGGTCAAACGGCTAAACTTCCGCACGGCCCAGTAAAACACGTGGGGCCCCAAATTGGGTTACAAACAATGCAAACACTCTAACTAGGAGCAACTATAATGGACATCGTCTCGAAGCATTCTTCGGCAAAAACCATGACAAGCGCTAGACAGTCACGATTTCAATTAGCTATATGACCATGGGCGGAGGCCATGGGAATTTATACCATGTGCGGTCTAGTAGAAGTACTTTAAACTGGAATTGGCTTGATATATCGCTGCGGTTGAGGTAAGTGAAACGGATTGTATGGTTTGCCTGATCCTAAGATATTCACCAGCCCTTGATTCTTTCTAGAGATGAATCTTTAAGTGTATTGGATTTGACTATGTACATCGATGCTCATGAACCACATTGCCGATTTAACTGGCAACTTGAGAACCTGTACCCGCTTCTGCTGCTTTAACTGCTCTCTGATAAATAGCGACAGTTCCTTCAGATACTACAAGCATCTTTTTGAGTTCTTCGAGCTCTTCTAAGTCCTCTTCGTTTTGAGTCCTTGTTTTCCAATCGTCCACTTCGGCGCGCGCATCCTCAAGCTTTCCCCGCAAGCATGCCATTTCCGCATGCACCAGGTTTTCTCCCTCTAGCCTATGATCTGCATCTTCCTGCAGTATATAAACACAAGATGACCTCGCTTGCGCCACCTCAAACGCATCTCCATCAAACGCATCAGGCCACCCATTTTCAAGGTACATCTCCCTTAACGAAAAAATTGACCCGTCCCATTCCAGCCCGGTGTTCTCCCCACTACCTGGAATCCATTCCAAAGAGTGATACCATTGCAAGATATCCTGAAGAACTACCTCGGCATTTCTGTGTGGAATATGCTCAAAGCTATTCCGATTCAACGACTGTGGTTCTTTCGTCGGATGACCTTCAAGAGCGGGATCGGTTGTGTCCCAGCTCTCCTGATCAATAATCCAAATGACATGTCGGCGTGCATCATATAAAATGACGCTGCCATGGTTACCCAGCCTGGTCAATGGTGTGACCCAGGGCTGAATATACGGGCCATTTTCATCCTCGAAATTCGGATCTGAGGGATCCCCATAAAATGGGTCGCGGCTTTGTTCGGCTTGCTCGATATCTCTAAAATCGGTAAACTCGCCGATTTGAGAGAAAGCGTCTTTCCCCGCAGCAAGCGGATCAATATATGGTAGGATGCTGTAGAGATATTTTATTGATGAGTCCAGGCCGAGTTCGTCATAGGCAGCCTCCAGGTGGGTTAGGTTGTGTGGCCCGCGCCTAATGCCTGCGCGTTGAATATAGCGCATTCTGGAAAGTTCTTCATATATCTCAAGCATGAGATCCGCCACTTTCTGGAGACGTGCTTTTTCCGAGGTGAGCGTTGTCATGATGAGGGGGCTAGCATTGATAATGGATGTTCGGTATCGATGCACTGGAAGCGCTATCAGAACGATGAAAGATACCACACAGATGAAAGTGCGGAATCTCATGGCAAGAAGATATACGATGAGATATAATGCCAAAATCCAAGAGCTGGCGATGGGATAATACGCTAGTAAAGCTTGATCCATGAATATATTCGCAGATTACGGAATCAAGGCGGTGAGAGAATAAGAACCCTGGGTGGTTCGCTCTCTGAATATTAGTTGCCATGGAATATTTAACAGACAGTTTTGTAGGAGCCAGTTACTAATGGTCATTAGGCATCTTTTCAACGCAAGCACTCTTTCCCTAAAACACGTTGACAAATAAACTCCAATTCAGGAACATTCTGCACACTTGCTTAATACGTGATGTTACAAGTGACCCGTGGACCCGATGGCATAGTGCATGCATGACTCGGGCCTCTTCTCGACATAGAATCAGGGATTGTATGGCAACCAGGAATGATAAAGGTCTGATATTCCATCTATAGAATATAAGGTAACTTTAAAGATATAGATAATATGAGACATATTAGGAGTAAGTATTCGAGTATGGCGGTCAGAAAATACCCTTGGAGAGGTATTCAGTGGGTAGGTATAGCTAGCCTCAATTGCTTTGGGCTGTTTGCAGATGTGGAGAATTAATGGTGGCAAGATCAATGTGCATATTCAAAGGCTTTGATTCATCCTTGTTTTTGTATTTTTGCTTCATGATGAGCATCAACCGTTCATTCCAGAACGGCACGCATGTTTCAAGATCAGATGCCGAGAATGCTGTAGTTTCGTTGTCACTCTCAGTATATAGATTCTCTGGTATATTGCACTTGAACAAGTTCGAGCCGGAAGACAAGTCGACCGAGTAGGTTAAACCGAGATCATGAAGGTCGGAGCCATCAGGTATACGTTCGAAGGGAAGTCGGCTGGTGGGTAGTCTCCTGGCCTTTCCGTCCTTCGTGGAAGGTTCGTCGGTAGAATTATCCCTTGTCTGATGAATGAGGTGTGCTCGCGGATCACGAGGGGAAAGCGTTGTCGCAGAGACCGGCTCGCCGATCGAAGCTTGCGATGAAGTTAACGCAGCTTTTGCGGCAAGATACCGACTTTTATGAGGCGAATGAAATTCTGGAGCAGACTGCGAACTCAATGTTTTCTCGTTATTGCTGACGCGCATCCGACTGTTCTGAATAGCTTCCTTCTTCCTCCTTTCGAAGTCTAGTGCTTTCTCCAGATCTGGACTGTCCGAACAACCATCATTCTGCCCATCGATATGCATAATATCTGGCAAAGTGTTCGTGGGCAATCCGAATCGTTGCTGGGTAAGGAAAGAAAGCGGTGAGTCTGGTTCTTGAGTCGGTGCTTCCTCAGCAGGGCTTTTCTGCAGCGAGACTTGTGTTGTTCTCTGAAACCAAGTGTCTAGAGCGCCGTTCCCATACCGGTCTCGATCACGTTCCCTCTGAGCGCGTCGGGCGCTCGAAATACGATTAGTTTCAGGGGAGGACTCGGTCGATTCTTGTGGATGCTGGCGGCGGCGTTTCACTGGCGACCCAGATGCAAGTCGTGAAGAAAGAGGACTTATCGGGGCTGAGTTGGGCGAATGCTGGACGATTCGCGGTTCACGTCCCCTTTGGACTGGCCCCTGCAGGCTACCGCTAGATAGATCCACGGGGCTTGTTTCATTGAGATTGTTTCCGCGACGCGGTGTTTGAAACGAAGCATTTATTCTGGACACAGACCACGGATTGACGAAGCTAGGATTCTTACTTCTGATGGTGCTGGAAGGAACCGTAGGCGAAAGGGCTTGCGGATTCTGTGAGAGGGGTGTGCAGGGTATAGCTAAGCTAAAGGGGTTGTCAGGATCACCAGGGCGTGCGACAAGCTCTGCTGGCTTCCTAGCCAGCAAAAGTTCGAATCCTCCTGAGCTCTCATTAGGTTTGCAGGAATCCTCTTTGCCTTGGGTGGAATTTCTCGTCTCCGTTCCGTAATGGTCGCGAAACATATTCTCTACCAAGGCCAAGACTACATCTTGGTCTTCAAAGAGTATGTTGTCTTTCCCTGGCTCGATATTGACGTCGTATGTCCCTCGGGGACAGCGAATTTGCAAACAGAGGAAAGGATCACTGGACTCCTTTAAGACGGCACGGACATGCTGCTTGAAAACCTTGACGATCTCGTGGGCAACACCCCTGCTATTAGACAGAGGGCGGCCGTCCACACTGATGAATTGGCCTACATTGTTGATCTTCGCCGTATCTAATTTGGTTGGTAACCATATCATCAATGGATATTCAACAAGATGAGCTTACCCAATTGTATTTTTTTCGGAAGAAAAGCCGTCGCTTCATATCCTGTCTGATCTGATTTTCCTTTCAAGACACAGGAAGAAAACACCTCCGTGCCAGCTATCTTCAGAACTGCGTCCGAGAGCGACGCGTCTGCGTTCGGCACATAGACCCAATTGCTATTTTCACCTTTTGCCTTGAGGACTTTGAATGAGAACCTCTTCAACGGTTGAGCTATAGCGTAGGCCTGGAGAAGTTGCTTGATCCTCGTAAAACTTTTTGCAGCACCCTTCAAGATAGTCTGCCTGCGGACAGGTATATGCTTGAGAAATTCTGCGATACGAACAGTTGTGCCCACAGGATGTGATGTCCGTTGTGTTCTGCGATGAAAGGTTAGTAGTGGCACAGAGGCCAAAAATCTGGCGAGGTCGGCATACCCAGTAAGCTCTCCGTTTCTTCCATACTTCAAACATCGTCCGGCAGCTTCGGACTCAACTCGAGTGGTGACAGTGACAAGCCCAGACATCTCTGCGACACTGGCAAGTGCTTCACCGCGAAATCCCAATGATGAGCCCCCGACATTTTTGAGATCATCTAAACTTTGAATCTTGCTGGTAAACGCTCGTTTGCAGACCTTTTGCTGGTCCTCTGGAGAGATTCCGTGGCCATTGTCCTTGAGTTGTATGACATCCACGGTGTTTTGGGAAATTTCAACCTGTAAAGACGTAGCGGAAGCATCCAAGGCATTGTCTACAAGTTCCTTGACAACAGAGCAGGGATCCGATATGGCAGATGTGGAGCCAATCGCCCGGATTGTCTTCTGGGGAAGAGCCTCAATTGCCATCCTGCACGCCTGGTATTAGTTGTTGGTATTAGTTGTTCATCTCCAAATGCACAAATTGTCTCATCCAGGTGACCGAAGGCCAGAAATACATGCGAACAATTTCAATGGCTTATAGTTGATGAACGTGGACTCGGCGGAGGATGGGATATTGTCTTGGCATCCTGGGTCACGTTACTTTAATGCCTTATTATTCAGGCCAGACTACGGAGTACTCTCCTTGTCTCTGCTACTAACTACAAATTGGCCTGCACTTCTGCGTTTCTTTCTCTTCCCTATCGCGCAAAGCATAGTCTATTCCTGAAGCTCATGAATTTTATTATTGCTAACTAATCAACAATGATCTCAAAAATTAGGCCTTTTCCCGCCTTTTTCTGCCGTCTACGAGACCTCTCAAAGACTACTGGGTCATGTGGTTCTCAATGACAAAAGGCCTGCTCAATGAAACTGTTTTGTTGTCCACCGGTCGCTATATCTTACCTCACTCTTTCAAGCTCGGAACATGGAGGTTTTTAGGTTCCGAGTTTGTATCCGCCTAGTACTTTTCATCGTACCTTTTGATTCTCTTCATCCTGGGCTTCAAAGGGAGAACGATACCTCATAACTCGATCACTTTATATCAATGCCAGCCAGCATGATACTCGAACTCCAACAATTCCCGGGTGGATTCCCTCGCCCATGGTGCCTACTCTAGAGCGGGTGTTCTGCGACAATCATCGACGAGGCACAATAGGCAAATTCATCAAAGTTTCACTCGTCTCGCCTTTCAGACTTCTCTGATCAGTCCACTGTTACAATTCCTCGACAAAGGCATATGCAAGAGACAGGAGATGAACTATTCACCATACTCGAAGAAGAAAATCATTCCTAGAGTGACGGTCTCATATCCTTGAGGCGAAGTGCTGTGGATTACACCCTCTGTGTTAGAGATGACTTCACCGAAGCAAGGGAAGGAAACCATATCTCGTAAAATGGTCCAACACGAGCTTTATTCCTTCTTGGGATCCTTTCACTTTCCGTCCATACGAGCATCATCCACAAGTGCGTGCATGACGCTAGAGTCGGAAATTGCAGCTACAGCAAGTGATATCTTCACAAGTGACACAAGTCGTTCAGCGACAACACCGCGGATCATTAAACTTGGATGAAGACGTAGTGTCAGCGAGTCAACGGCCCAAATGAGCGGTAAGCTATGTCATAGGGTTCTTACCCTTATGTCTACCACTTCATATATGATTTACTTATACATATCCTTCTAGCGCTTAGCAAATTTCACGCACGAGAAGTGGTCCGACAGTCTCTTACTTTCCCCAAATCTCGTCACCACACCACATCTAGTCCGCTACACGATCTTCGATTTATAGGGCCTCTCCGCCGCTGGCCAGATTTTCTTGGAGCTGCGGAGAGAACAGATAAGAGACGTGACTGAAGTGGTCAGGGATAATCACGGTGTACAGGGCCCGATAGGGCAACTCTTGGACTAAGCCTAGACTCGCGAGGTAATTGATCCCTGCTTTGCAGATTCAAGTGTCTTGGAAATCCATATCTAAAGACACCCGATGTTATAAGAGCTATGGAAATAAGCACAAGGTGGAGGCGAACTTGAGGTTCCCTGGATGGAGGCACACGCATGCAACACATTTCCCAATTCTCTTCGCCCAAACCCTAACATTTGCACGACGACTTGAACTGGATGGATGTATGGAGTTCTCAGCACCTACAATATTCCTACGCCAGCATATTGCCAATGGGGTATGGACGGTAGGTCATTATCCACCTTTAACATCTCCTTGGGTGTGGCCACAAAGACCTCAATAATTTCCCGTGTGTGAGCAGCCAGAGTAGGGCAAAGAACAAATCCTCCAAATGTGATCAACATGCTGAAGAAGGCTGTTTTTGCAAACTCAAGTACTATTTACTTGGCTTTTCTTGTCATGTCTTGAACAGTCTGTCAAACTGTGCAAGTTGATGACCTAAAAGGAAGTCATAATTTGTGGAACAACAATCCCAAAATTGGACCTGAGGTCAGCCGTCATTGATTATCGTATCAACCACCGCGATCTTCGGCAAGAGCAAGTATATGTCGCCGATGAAACGGGCCTTCAGGGACGCAACACTTGGGGCATCTTTTGTTTGCATTGTTTGCAGAATTTATACGTCACTTGCTCTTGAAAGACTGGCTACTCCGTACTCTACGCTTTTACCCCTGTCAACTGCTCTCCACTGCCAAGATGTCTCGCTCTCGTGGACGGAATGTGAACTTTTACAACGGTTCAACGGGCTCATCTCGGGGGTGTCCGACAAAATGGATCTATCACAAACGCTAATTTTTTCCACATGCTGATGGATGTCTTACTCGTCGTCGATGGAATAATTTCAATTCGCTTTAGAGAGACCGGGCAACCGATGCCAATGAACACTGATCGCTTAGTAGAAGGCGACTACGATATCTTTTGCCCTCGGGGTGAGTCTTTGTTTTGAAATAATGAAGTAATGAGGAACCAGGCTAACTTTATTAGGCGACATCAAACTGACCGAAGAGGACTGCGTGCGACGAGTTTACTCCGGTAGCCAAAGCAGCCGAGAAAACTCCTTTCGGCATTTTGTGCGGGCGCGAGATGGTAAATGCGTGTTGACTGGAGTAGTCAACAAATATGCAAGTGAGGATAGGTGTTGGGTCGGCTTCGAAGCGGCGCACATCTTCCCTATGGTGCACGAGGGACTTTGGCGCCGGTGTAATCTCAGCCGTTTTATCACGCGTCCTGGACGACACACAATCCACTCAGTCCAGAACGGGCTATTAGTTACGACAACAATGCACCATCTATTTGATAGCTTTCTCGTTTCCGTTAACCCAGATGTAAGTAAATGACTATACCTCAAGTAGATGAATCGTTTGCTAATCTATGTTCAGGATTGCTACAAGATCACGGATTTTGGTGCCAATAACTTCAACGTCGATGGTCGAGTACTGGATATCGTGTGCCGAAATCCGAACAATCCTGACCGTATGGCAGATGAATTACTTCGTTGGCATTTCCGTCAGTCTGTGCTTGCCAATATGAAGGGGGCTGGAGAGCCCAGCTGCGAGCACGATTTTCCCCCCGGGCACTGATATGATGAAAGAAATCCTCCAAGGCCCAGTTCCGGCTCAGCGCATGGAACTGGAGCTATTCTCTCGGTTACAAAGAATTCCGCAAGAGGACGAGGAAAGCCCGAAGACAGAAGGGGAAGGGGAAGGGGAAGAGGAAGGCCAAGGCCTGGCATAGAGATACCACCTTACTGCCTCGATCACCGCCTTGACGAACTATATGCTAACCTTAGAATTTCATTCGCAATACTACGATCAGCCATTGATCTTAGACTATATGGCTTTTTTGATGTCTTTTATATTGATTTCTATCTACCCTTTGTACTAGTACTTCGCATGGTTTTTATCCTGCTATTTTGTCTGATTTTTGTACTAGTACTTGCTATGTGGTTAGAACTTAGAAGATATACTAGTTCAACACCCCAGGAATACCATGGAGAATACACTAATTGAGTACTAATTACTTTATCGACTTTGAATATGACAGGCAAGTTGAAGCAATTTTATCTAAAACATGCAACCTTAGATGAATACAACAACCTTCGAAGGAATGGTGGATGACTAAAGTTCTGCCTGGCAATAATATCCAATAGGAAGGCACATACAGCCTCATTAGTCATCATAGTCACAGCCTCAATAAACAACGTCCAACTTTACGCCTCTGCAGCTTCTTAGCCTTGCTCACTCAAACGGCTGAAGACGCCGAAATGTTGGGCGAGGACTTTTCAATCACTAAGCTCGCAATTCCCGCCGTCAGTGTGCTGATCGCCTTCCTCGCCTACACATCACAGTACTTATTTCTGCACTTCGAGTCTGCGCCTCTCAAAAGGGACGAAATTTGGAAGATCAATATCTTCGCTCTATGCATCTGGATATGCTATTATCGAACCTGCTTTGTAGATCCCGGTCGACTTCCCAAGGCTGAAGAGCGACCGAAACCCAAGGAGCAAGAAGGTGAAGCACTCGCTAGTCGCCAGCGATGGTGTCGCAGATGTGAAGCTTACAAACCGCCCCGTGCTCACCACTGCAAGACCTGTAAAAGGTTAGATGAGGAATGCCTGATGTGGATATCTTTGCTGATCTTCTTCTAGATGCATTCCTAAAATGGATCATCATTGCCCCTGGACCTCGAACTGCGTCTCACATTTTACCATCCCGCATTTCATGCGCTTTCTATTTTATGCAACTGTTGGCATGTCCTATTTGGAAACCCTTCTCTGGCAGCGTGCATCATTTGTATGGAAGAACAGCCATCTGCCAAGCGTAAGTAATTCAGGTACTTCATTTTATCATTCATGCGACTAATGTTGAATAGTATCTCGGCCCCACATTGGGGCAGCTCATCCACTTGTTCATACTGCTGGTGGTAAATAGTTTCACGACTTTCGCCCTCTTTGTCCTCCTGCTTAGGAGTCTATGGGCGATTGGATCTAACACTACCACCATTGAAACATGGGAAATCGAGAGACATGCTACTCTTGTCCGTCGAGCCCGTGTGCTGGGCGGGTATCTTGAGGGCCCTGGGGGAATTCGAGTTCACATAAAAAAGCAGGAATACCCATACGATATTGGGATTTGGGCCAATATCAAGCAAAGTATGGGCGGGAGCGCGAATGTGAGTATGCCTGTTCATGGTCCAAATATTGACACGCAAACACGTAAGCTAATGTCTTTCTAGGTCATAAGCTGGTTCTGGCCACTGGCCGCATCACCTGATCGCCGGTCCGGCTGGGAATTCGAGACCAATGACTTTGAGGGTGAGTGGTTGAGTCAGTATTGTGGGTTTTCAATTACTGATCTTTTTTAGATCCTGGTGTATCATGGCCACCTCCAGATCCAGATCGAATCCCGGTGCCGGTTAATACAAGGTCGGATAACATTAGTATGTCTGCATACGCAAGTATTCAGGACGAGATTGATGCCTTCAATCGTCGTAAACAGGAAGACATGAAGCGATTCCAAAGTCCGGGTGTGCAGCGTCGCAAACCATTCCACGACCGGTACAAAAAAGGCGCCTACGCTGAAAGTGATAGCGATGAGTCCGGAACTGACTCCGGGGGTTATTCAGAAGAGGGCGAAGAGTCTTGGCGAAACGCTGAAGGAGAACGACTACGCGACTTTGGGGTGGACGAGGAAGCAGAATTCTATGATGAGGAAGACATCCCTCTTGGTGTTCTCATTGAGCGACGGAAGCAGCAGCAATCTGCTAATTGAACCCTTTCCGACAAAAATCATCTGTATCATTAGATCTTTTTCGCAATACCCCTGAGTCGCACATATCCCAGCCATTGGCTCCCATCTTCACCACGAGTTATCACGTCCTGGAGCACATCGCAAACCTGGCGCACTGCAGCATCCTGCTTTTCCTCGGGGAGCACGTCTAAGAACTGGGCTCCCATCAGCCTAACCCATCCCTCCAGACCGCCCTTGGCGTTAGTGGTGAGTTTTGTTGGGCGGTACTCTAGCTCGACGTTCTCGACCTTGAACCCGATCTCTTCAAGAGCATTCCTCATCCAGGTATCAGATGGGAAGAACCAAGGACTTGTCTCATTCGCTTGTTTGACAGGAATACCCTGCTGCACCAGTGCGCAGACAAGGGCCGTCTTAACCTCGGCAACATTACCATGTCCGCCCATTTCGAATACATATGTGCCGCCAGGCTTCAGACAGCCATAGATCGCGCGGAGAGTTGACATGCGCGTCGACTCATCACGTAAGATCCAGTGGAGGGCTGCGTTGGAGATCCTGTCTGGTTGTTAGAGGTCGAGTTCCATGCATGGTGAACCATGTATTATAATTAAAGACATACACTTTATCCCATGATCCATTGACAATGGAGGTTTCTTTCTCCAGGTACCGGCAATCCACAACGCGGAAGCTAGCCTTGGGGCTTGCGTAGTCTTTGTTGGCAGACTCGATCATAGACGCAGATGAGTCAATGCCCAAGACGGATTCTATGGCAGGCAGGAAGTTCGTCGTGAATTTTCCATCGCCGCAACCGACATCAAGCACCTTGTCTGTTGGCTTGGGGTCCAGAGAGGTGAGGAGTTTTCCGGTGATTTTCGCGGAGTGCACGAAGGATGCAGAGGCAGAGTATGCCTAGGCTTGTTAATTATGATACACACGTATCGCCGGGAGGAATACATACTTCGGCCGACCAGTGGTCTTTAGGAACCTCGGTATTGGACGCCATGGTATATGACAGGTGCAAGTATGGAGAAGTGGAGAAGTCGTAGTCTTGGCGTCGAATGTCAGTTAGGAACAAGGGAAATGATAGTCAATCAAGACGTGAGAATATTTCAAGAGGTGTTCCTAGTAAATTCTTTCCTGGTTATCGAGAGGTTTGATGGGCTCTCTTATATGTTTTCTCCGTAGAGTGGGCAGTTATTCGAGGTAGGATAACGAGGCCGATATCGGACCGGAGATATACTTGGCCGCCAGTACGGGCGACTAAGTGTGCCATCAGAACATAACCATCTCATTGGATAATATTGCCAGGCAATTAGATTCACTCCCAACTGTATAATCAGGGCTCTCCCACCTGGGCACTGTAATGTGATCATGTGGACCATCCTGCGGTACTCCAGTTCTTCTGTGGCGCGTACATTTAGTAGGCGAGGCGTATAATTGCTGTTCCTAGAGGAGTGATAACACTTGCTTAAGGTGTTTTCGGTATTCCTCGATTGAATCTGAAAAGATCAGGATATCAACAACACGTTACGTCCCCTTCTCGGGCGAAACGTAGGGGTCTAAGAGATGAGAAGACTATGGGATGACTACTGAGAATGGAAAGGTGGAAAGGTGTTTGCGTTGCTATCTATGCCTCGGGAGTGCTTTTATAACTATCCATCACATGACCGCCTAGTCATCCTGCTCTGTAAACCCCCACTAACTAGTGTGTAGGATGGTCCGTAACGGGACCGCATGGGCCCGTAATGGTGACATGACAGGGGGTCTGGGATCACAGTAACTCAAATGGCTTCCACCACTAGTACTACCAATAATGATGTTCCAATTCTGAAAACTGGATTTTTATGCTAGATATTAGAGAGTATTAAATTAGATAAATCTACCCGGTAATCAATCATAATTATGGTGTAATTGTACGAAGAACGAATACCAGAGCCCTTTGATAATTGTATATACTCATACAAATTCTGGAACTTGGGCGAAAGCGCTCCGATAAGGTGGTGATCTATAGCGGTGAGCTACTATCTAATAGCAGAGTTACTCCGTATGTTCCGATGGCATACTTGATCATCGGTACGCCTGCATGGGATGCACAGACCTACTACGTATGGAAGGTCTAGGCCTTTTTTTTCTTCTCGAATAACTTCATATTAGAGATTGACAGTGATATTCAAACTACGCAGCTTGTACGGGCTGTACGAGTTTCACTAACCAAACCGATTGACATAGTATGCGGGCACATCGCATGTAAGGATCTATACCTACTCACATGTCAGGATTACAAGACATCACTGCTTGCCCTTACAGCTAACTACGACCCGTACCCCTTTCTCTCCTGAAATGCTCAAACAACAAAAGTCCAGACTTAACACTGCAATCATATTGGGCGCCTAGTGGATACACGGCAATGGCAATGGCGGAACAATTCCCTTGAGCTCCACTAATTCACTGGGCGAAATCCCCCCTGACTTCTGCAAAGTAGCATATATATCAGGATGTCTAATCTAACAAGCTGCATATTGAGATATACAAAACCCCACCTCTTCCAATCAATCAGAAACCATGTCTTACCACGGCCATTGCAATTGCGAGAGCATTCGCGTCACTCTTCCCGTGCAACCCGAGACCTCAGCCGTTTGCCACTGGTATGAAGCCTTTTTGAACTTGGCATAATTTGTCTTGATAGTCATGTACTAATATGATTTTGCAATGTAGCAATAATTGCAAGCAAGCAGGTGGTGGTCGTAAGTACATTCGTCGAGGCAGCTGTGGAGTGTACATTTTGCTTACAACTATCTTAGCATTCTCTGTCAACTACATTGTCAATGAAGATGACTTGACCGTTGAGGATCCCAATGGGGCTTTGAAGATCTACGAGGACAAGAACTCCGATAGTGGCAATGTTGTGAAGGTAAATCATTGTCCATCTCGAAGTACTATTGTTTGTTCGAACGAAAAACTAACCTCGAAATAGCGTCATTTCTGTTCCAGCTGCGGCAGGTATGTGTAATTATTTAATTATAGTGATGACTATAGCTGACACCCAATGCAGCCCAGTGTTCACCAAAACCCCCAAAGCCCCTGGAGTAGTCTTCCTCAAGGGCCCCTTGTTTGACATTGTCTCCACTCCTGCACTTGAGGTATTTACCAATAAGCAGTACGACTGGGTGAATATCAAGCAGGGAGAAATCGAAGCGTGATATCAACACGAAGCTAGAGTCGTGGTTTGAGAAAATGTACAAATAGCAATGAATATAAGCATTGTCCTATGCGATGGCGCAATTCCCGGAAAGCCTGTTATTGGTCCATTTTTAAAGCATAAGATCCCTGTCGCGTTTATATTCATTTCCACCTATAGTATAGCTTCTACTGAGTACGGAGTACCTTGGTGATATAGTGTTTGAGCAGGCGTATGTAGATGACTGAAAGCATAACGGTTTAAATGTGGGGACGGGTTAATTTATTTCAACCTCTCATCCCTCAAGACAACGGCAAAAGCGCACCACGCCGTAGCCATGCTGCTCTCTCCGGGCTAAAACCACCTATAATAATATGACAGGAGTCCCTGCTCAAACGTCCGGTCCTAGGCGACCGTCAGGTGCCATTTTGCGGAACACCCGACCGCGCGTCAACGATAACAACCCGGATCCCCGCGAAGCGCTCGAGCTCCAGCGGATCCAGACACGCGAGGACAACGAGCTGGACTACTCGACGCCGTCTGCTTCATCCGGCGATGAATATCACGTTGTGACGCGTCGCACCACGGCACGCGCTCTCGCGTCACGTGCCGATGCCGAGCGTCGCCGGCAAGCTCGAAAGGGGGCTTGGGGCAAGCTCACTCGGTTTTGGACGCATAATGTTACTCTAACGGTGGCGCATAAGAGTAGTCGGGATTATTTCGGTGCGTATTTTGCGACTGCGACCCCGACTTGCCGATCTGCATAATTCTAACTCTGCATCCAAGCCTTGGAGAGAACATTCCTCGCGTATCTGCGGACCTCCCTCGCCGTTGCCCAGCAAGGAGTGCTTATTGCCCAGTTGTTCCGTCTGCAGGCGGCGGAGGAGTTGGCGGACCGTCTTGGGTTTGGTCAGGTCGGTACACCCCTGTCGGTCGCGTGTCACTGTGTGGCTATTATCGTGGCTTTGGTTGGGGCGTATCGATTTTGGAGGCAGCAGAATGCTATTGCTAGCGGTAGGGTCTATGCTGGAGGCTGGGACATGAATTTTGTGGGGGTATTACTGGGTTGTGTGAGTGGTGCAAATGCTTTTCGGTTGAAGATGTAACTGACATTGGCTAGATCACTATAACGGTGTTGGTTGTTTCCGTTGCTATTATAGTCGAGGTCGACGTTCACCCGTCTATATTTGTTCGACGAATATTAGCCAGCTGAGTGATCACGGAGATATATAGGTAAGTTTTTATGAATCTTGTCTTGGCAATCATCAGCCTCATATCTAGACTATGTAAATATAATTCTAATGATTTAAGGCTATGTAGCGGAGAGGCACTTTGAAATACTTACATGATTCGTTAGTTAATAAATGTGGAGTTGATTAATTAGTATGTAAGATTATGCACATATGTACTCCGTATGGATGCAATCCTTCGCTTTATCATACATGAGAGGTCGTTGATGAGAAGTGTCGTTGTTCGGAAGACGTCGTTAGTAAGAGGCATGAAGCTCCTCTTCAAGAATATGCCATTTTCTAGCAACCTCTGCCCGGTCGTCAGCGGTAGATGCCCGCATGTCTTCAATGCCTTGCGCTATCCGAGATGCCATAATAGAAAGCTCCTCGTTCTTGCCTAGCGACTTTTGAAGTTGTCTGCGAATTCCAACCAAGGGATATCCAAAGAGTCCCCAGAGACCTATGTTGAGTCAGAATGAGACACCCGCGGCAAAATAGCCATTGTGTGGCCATAGCGTTAACATACCTGCTGGTGGCTTAAAGATAATACCCCCAATCCCTTTCCCAATTCCCTTAATCATTCCTTTCGCTCCTTGTTGCCGAGCGCCAATCTGAGGCTGGGTGACCAGGCCCGTGATACCGTAATAAAATCCATCTCGAAATTCCTAGAAGATTAAGAGTCAGACATGATCTTTTTTTCCATCGAGGATGAGTGACATACCGTTCCAGCTGCCGCGAGTCCACTCCGGAAGCCCATAACCTTCGGCATATCTTTGACCATTCGGTCGTGGTACAACATCGGCGCATTGTGAAATCCTTTGGACAAGCTGAGAGTCAAGTCTGTCGGGAGCCAGAGTATGTTTTTCAATAACTTCTTCGACATTTGACTACCATGAGTACGTATTTCGTAGATAATACCCTGCCCATGGGGTGTCTCTATATAACTCAATAGTTTCTTCTGGTCAATCGGTATGCCTTGTTTTTGGCCCACGGCACTAGCTGGTAACTCATGGTTCATTCTGTTGTGTCTTATGTGGTCTTCCTCGCTGTCGTTCGTGTCGAGGTTCATTAAATCATTAGCATTTGACCCAAGTCCATCATGGCACTCGGCAGGCCCATGATACTCGGCAGTTTCATGATACTCATCATCATCACTATCCAGGCTTGAATCATGACTTTTGCGGGATTTGCCAAATGAAAACCTTGAGGAACCACTGCGATCGCGAGTATGACCTATTGCACGACCGGCCTCGACAAAATCCACAACGATGTCATAAGGGACCTCACCGATCCCAGTCACGAAGTTCGCAATCGCTCCAACTAGCACCTGAGCTCCTGCGCTAATAGGGCCGACAGGATTTCGGTATGTGTCGTATTCCTCTGCTCGGTTCCTGGACAGTTGGTTAGTGGTGTGAATATTTTGGTGAAGGCCTACATACAAAGCGACATCCTCGGGTTTGATAGCCCCCATTTCAACCAGTACTGCTGCAGCAAAGGCACTCAGCCCAATGGAAGTTTGCTTAATGTGCCACACAGCAGGACGAGTAGGACATATGGCGCATTGTAAAGTCTTCAGGTTAAGGTGCCGATGAAAGCTGCGTACGCCATCCCGCACACCGGACTCTGTCTGCATCTTATCCGCAATTTCTTGAGCCTTCGCTTGAGTTGAAGGTAGCAATGCTGTCTTAATTGCATTGGTCAACTTCTCGACTGTGAGTTGCTTGTACGGGACAGGCAGCGGTCCGGCCCCAGCCATCGCCACGATCCCTCCCCAGAACTGCTGATCTCCAAAGAAGGGAACGATAATCGTCGGACGTCCAAGCGCAAGCCCTGCAGCAGTGGTACCTGCACCTCCATGATGAATGACGCATGATACGTGTTGGAATAACCAGTCATGTGGTACGCTGCCGACAATGAGGATATTATCTGGCACATCGGCATCCTCAATTCCGAGGTTTCCCCAGCCTTTTGAAATGATTGCACGTTGACCCGAAAGTTGTATCGCTTCGAACACAATTCGAGTTAGTTTGACTTGGTCTTGAACCACAATTGAGCCGAATCCAACGTAGAGTGGAGTGGGCCCTGCTTTGAGGAAATCTTCGATCTCTTTTGGGGGTTGGTAGTCTGACTTTCTAGGTAGCACACAGAATCCGCAAATATCTATTTGGTCACCCCAGTCGGCTGGCTTCGGCAACAATGCCGGCGACCTAAAGCAAACCGTAATTAGTGAATGATCAAATCCGCTAACTTCGAGTCAACATACCACAAATATGAGAACGGAACGCCGAGACGCTGGGGCAAACTCGGCGCCGTGATCGAATCTAACGGATCGAGTGCGAGGCACTTCTTCCGCCACGAGTTCACAAGATCTCCCAATCCTTCCCAAATCAGCATATCCACAACGGAATAAGACACGAGGTTTGCGACTGTTGGCTTGCAATCCTGCGGGTGGAGAACGGCCAAAGGGTGTGGAAACGACTGTGTAGGCGACCAGGGCATTCTATAAGAATTCCATTAGGTATCCCTCAATTTCATGTCTGGAAGTAGACTCACGTAAACATTAGATGAAGTGGAATTCCCAGCCGCTGTGCGCAATGAATATGGCCCAAGCTGGGCGGATTGGCGATTATCGCATCGGCAACGAACGGCCTCCGACGATAGTCCACAGCGTCACTCCAGAGATCCTCTTTGATTTGATGCATATCTGTGCCGTCGCCTGTTTCAATACATGACCTCCAACAGCCGTATATAATGTCCTTCATTTCGCGCCGGCGTTTTTGTATGGCACCGCTGCGAATCGTGCTGAACGCGGGGAGTAGGGATGGGTTCTCGACCATGAATGCCATCAGTTGTTCGGGGTCTCCACCGATGCTGAAGAACTCCAAGCCGCCCTCGAGTACAAAATCCCGGAAATAGAGGTGTGTTGCTAGCCGTACGCGGTGTCCACATGCCTTCAACTCTTTCCCCAGCGCAATGAACGGTTGGATATCACCCCGAGATCCGATAACTTGTATGACGATGTTCAGCTTCAGTGGGAAGTCTTTGCCCTTATCCTTCGGTATTGGTTCAGGGGTCGGTTGGTCCTCTAGATCTGGTGGCCGAGTTGTCGTTTGAATGCGATGTAATAGCCCTGCTAGTTGTGGCATATGCTCGTTGATTTTGATATCAACCCTTCCATCGTCTACCAGCGTTACCGTTAGCGACGGTTTGTATTGCTTCACTTGATCACGAACTCAAGACTTTGACCCCGGCATTTCGTCCCTCTCCACCGACATGCTTCCGTTCGCGGTGTGGGGAGATCGGAACGCTGACCTCCCCAGGCCAGTCCTCCGATCGGATTGACCCATGGCGACTGGATCTGGGCCTCAAAGTTGTTGATGCCGAGTCCATTCCTGGCGGGAGATCGACGATGTGGCCAACTAGAGTGACACAGTTCAAAATTGGCAGGGGGGATCAGTGTATGTTACACTAAATTATAATAGTAATGAGTATGTTCATATTAGAATTGTTTAGAATTGGTCACATTGTGCGGGATCAAAGACATTAAAAAAGAATATGATCAGCTCTACTCTGATGATGTCAGAAGGGTCCGCAGTCTATTACCGCCGGTGCGTCAGTTTGGATTATGCCAGCAGTATAGTTAGTAATACGAGTTTTTATACATCTTAATGTTATGCATAACTAATCTTAATGCTTTGAATACCCAATGCTATAACTTTCTTTCCAATCCGTACGACTTAATCCTTCAATTTATAGTCATAATATAGAAATAGAGCAATTTTCTCTTGGAAGTCATGAAAGGCCGGTGAGCCCGGTCAAAATCTTGAAAATGTCAAGTGACGGTAATCAGAGTGCCGCAGTCCCGAGTCTCAGGCCTTCCCGGATAATTCCACTGCGGATCCCGAGCTCGGGATCAATTTGGACCTCGGGATCCCTATGGATTAGTCATCTTATATGCAGCCCTCTTGGTGAATTATTCCCTTGTGCAGGTTATCAACCGAGGTCGAGTATCATTGCTATCCATGTTTTCTATTTCGTGCCAAACATTGTTCAAATCTGAAACATGATAGCTTGCACAATCCAAGCTTTGTCTGTAGTGATGCGCTCGGTAGGATTCGCTGGATCCTTGAGCTACTTGTAAAAGAGGTTGACGCTCTGGGTCGTGCACATGATCTGTAAACTTGCGTTTAAACTTCGAATTTCGCAATCTTTGAGTAGAATTAGCGGAAAGATCTTGTATTGGCTTATCGCCGGAAATATTCTCCGATATCAAGCCGAATATCTTCCACGTCCTCGTCGATCAAGTCGATCCATTCTGTTGCCTTGACCGGCTGGTCAGCATCCTTTGTCTAAGGCGTACCATCAATGCGGACCAGGGGTTCGATGCTTGGGAACATCGAAGAGCTCTTTCTCGAGTGGGTACAGTGCATCGCATTTACTTGCGATGTTCCGGCCGCTGAGATCCTTAGGTGTCTCCAAGGGCGACAGGTTGGTCTCCCCTGAGCTTGTATCTTGACAGCTCCTGGGTATAGAGAAGATTGCTTCGGTAAAACATGTTGAATGTAAGAACCGGGGATGGGAGCGCTTAACTTTCCTACGCAGGGGTAGTCCAGGCCAAGATCCGATGACTCATCAGGATCCACCCCCGACTCCGGGGCCCCAGGACCGCCACCCGTGGGTGGGTTCCTTTCTCCAACATTGGAGACCTGAATGATATTGGCTATAGCACACCATCCTGAGGCAGCTTTGGATTCATGAATAGAGCACGCTATTAACCATCCCGAGGCGTCTTTTATTGCTAAACTCCGAACCTTGACTGCGATATAGGAAGATTAAGACCTGAGGCATAGCGGTAGCGCCTGAACTTTTTGGACTCACATTAAGCCATAAGCCCAAGGCAATAGGAACGTGCTGGAAGAAGCAAATTGTAGCCTTCACCCTTGACTTCAAATAGTTTATAAATCAATCAAATCATATATTTTAT